CGGGTGCGGTGGCTCAAGCCTGTAATCCCAGCACTTTGGGAGGCCGAGGCGGGTGGATCACGAGGTCAAGAGATCGAGACCATCCTGGTCAACATGGTGAAACCCCGTCCCTACTAAAAATACAAAAAATTAGCTGGGCATGGTGGCGCTTGCCTGTAATCCCAGCTACTCAGGAGGCTGAGGCATGAGAATTGCCTGAACCCAGTAGGCGGAGGTTGCGGTGAGCCAAGATCGTGCCATTGCACTCCAGCCTGGGTAACGGGAACGAAACTCTGTCTCAGAAAAAAAAAAAAAAAAGATAGTCTTTTCAACAAATGGTGCTGGAACAACTAGATATCCACGTGCAGAAAATGTGAATCTCCATCCATCCATATCTTGTACCACACCCACACACAATTTATTAAGGAACATATGGTAACTTCCATCACTCAGGATGTGGTTTTCAGCCCTATCACAACTTAATTCATAATCTAAATGCTCCTGTGAACAATGCCATTCAACCCTCCAGGGAATCTCTTCTACCCAGCAGGCCAGAAAGATTTATGGGTTTTGCCATTGCCAACATCAGATACAGACACTGCCTCAGAATGTGGAAAGGATTTAAGTGACAAAGCACTTAGGTAACAGACAAGACAAATTAACTTTCCAAATCTTAAGTCTCAACATGAGTTCAATAGACTCTTACATGAAAAAAAAAAATTCCTTCCCAGCAGTGTTAGTTATTCATTTTCCTGCTTCTTTTATGTTATGTTCCAGTTAATGGTTCCAGAAGTACTCACAAATTACTGCCAATTTCACAATACTTGCTCGTGATGACTAAGTAGTATTTTGCCAATATTAAACCATTCATATTATTTTTAAATTTGTATATATGTAGGTCTAGATGTAATATGCATGAAATGTAATTCTGATTCTTCATCTTGGCAACTAGACTTTGGATGCTAGAATCATGAATAGTTTATATTTATAAAAACAATATGTGTTAAATAATTTTAAAAACTTACATGTTTCAGATTTTTTTTAATTTTAATTTAATTTTTATTTTAACTTTTGAGACAAGCTTTGACTCTGCTGCCCAGGCTAGAGTGCAGTGGCCTGCTCACTGCAGCCTTGACCTCCCAAGCTCAAGCTATCTTCCCTCCTCAGCCTCTCAAGTAGCTAAGGCTACAGAGATGCAGCACCACATCCACCTAATTTATTTATTTATTTCTTTTGTAGAAATAGGGTTTCATCATGTTGTCCAGGCTGGTGTCAAATTCTTGGTTTGAAGTGATCCACCTGCCTTAGCCTCCCAAAGTTCTGGGATTATGGGCATGAGCTACACCCAGCATGTTTCAGATTTAAATTATTTTTACTTAGAATTTTGATAGCAATTACAGTCTGTATTTCATCTTTTATTTCAGTAAACAATTTTGCACAGTAAAGAAAAAATATAATTTTTGAAGCACTCATGAAAGATAATTTTTTTATTAGCTAGAATCTTTAATGAAGATATATTCAAATTTCAAATACCTCAGTACATTCAAATACTTTTTTAAAACACCTTAGATGTTTGGGGTGTAAAAAGAAAAGGTATGCTAGAAATTAAAAATGGGGAGGCAGAACTAAGGAAAGAAAAAAAAATGAGAGAATAAAGTAATAGAAAAATATTCAAAGTGGTGATCAGTTAAGTTTAATACTGGAAACAATGAAAGTAAACAGACCTCTGTCAAACATGACCCAAAACAGAATGTGAGAAAAAATACACTCAAAAATCTTAACTGAATGAAGCATAATTTTTTATCCAAATAAAAACAAGAAAATTATTTTTATCAACTCTACGATGTGAATAAGTTAGACAAAACTCTTGCAACTTCATACTAAACAAAGATTTGATTGTTTGACAATGAAAAAACTGATCTAATGCACACTCAGAATTAAAAATTTACACTCTGGCTTTTCTCTTACAAAAAGAAAATCATATTTTAGAATTGGTATATTCCAGGTAAAAGAAAGAAAACTCCATGGCTTTACCCTGCTTATTGGACAATGGTTGTAGGAAACAGCAGTCACATGTTTCTCACAGCAAGAGAATATATCTCAAACACAATCTGATATGAACTAATGTTTACAACTTTCCATTTGATGAACATGCAAGAAAATTTAACACTTCATTTTACACCAAAACCATTTCAAATGGAGAAACTGGAGACGAAGAATTTTGTTGACAACTGCTATGTTTCGTAATCAATATTCAAAATTAGCATTGATCATGAAAATAAAATACTTGTGACTGGAGAGACCCAGGTTCCTGATTAATAAAAAACAAAACATCATTTGCACACACAAGATATGCATGCAACTATTATACTGAAAGTTAAAAAACAAGGCTAACTAAACAGCAAACCTATGACAGTACTAAATCAAGTGAACACTGAAAACCTACTAAAAATACAAAAACTAGCTGGGTGTGATGGAGGGCTCCTGTAATCCCAGTTACTCGGGCGGCTGGGGCAGGAAAATCATTGACTCCAGGAGGGGGAGGTTACAGTAAACTGAGATTGTGCCACTGCACTCCCCTTCTCAAAAAAAAAAAAAAAAAACTTATCGTGATCCTCTGAAAAGAATAAAATTACGTCTCATTATTTTAGCCAAGCAAGTCAAAGTTCTTTAGGATATTAATCACATAATATTTCTTTAAAAATAAAGACAAGATATAGGTTTGAAGGAAATCATTTTGAAACGGTGCTACAGTGGCAAGATATAGAGGTGACACTTTTTCTTTTAGAAACTTTGGCTACCATCAGAGATGGAGAATTGAAAATGAGGTAATGATTAATAGGTAATAAAGTAGTGAAATCGTACATAAAATAAATGCATATAATAAAAGTGTTTTTGTTATTATCTACTTTATTCAACTAGATAATAACAAAAACAAAAGTTACATGTAACAATATTCTTGATTTGTACTGATGAACTATTAGAATAGGGAAACCAGGAATTGATGAATTCTCCCCCTGCTGTGAAAAGTACAAGTTCTGTCTTAAGCAAAAAACTACAGAAACTACTTTCAATGGAGGAATTGATTTAAAAGACTGTCTAGAGTAAGCCTTTAGTAAAGGCACTAATATGATTGGTAAATTAAAAAATATTAATGAACCAGAATTGCGGCCAAATATTTAAAAGCAATACTTGGGCTATACAGCACTGCAGTTTGAATTTGTTTCTAGGAGACACAGGCTCATGTCAAAAGTGAGTGATATTCAAAAAATATTCATATATAATTTTAAGATTATATACGGAGTGTCTTGGTAAAACACGTATCAAATTTGATCTCACAGATACCTGAGATACGTGATGGAAACACTGACTAAATGTTCTTAGAATAAGTAGATTTGATCTAGACAAGATATGAAATGCACTAAATGAGCTAAGCAAAACAACAGACAATCCTCATATAAACAGTGTATTGTGGTCTGTGGTCTTTGATATTAAAAATTGACTCTTGACCGGGTGCAGTGGCTCACGCCTGTAGTCCCAGCGCTTTGGCGACTGAGGAGGGTGGATCACTTGAGGTCAGGAGTTCGAGACCAGCCTGGCCAACATAGTGAAACCGTGTCTCTAATAAAAATACAATAGCCGGACATGGTGGCGGATGCCTGTAATCCCAGCAGTAAAAACAATTGGTTATGCAACCACATTACAATGTACTTACATGTAAAGTTTTTGTTGCATTTCCTAATCAAAGTAATGCTTTAAGTATTTTGTTGACAATTTCAGCTGCTACTGCCTCTGTAGAGTTTTTCCAATTAAAATTAATTTTTAAAATAACTACAAAGACTCAGGAAATAATGTCTAATTTGACATTACTGTCAATTGACACAAATTTTGTGAAAAACTGAATTAAACAATTTTTAATTTTATTGAAAACATATGAAAAGTAAAATTTTCACTGAAACATTATCATTCCATAAACAGAATAGCCAGATATTCCCAATAAAAATAAAATTCAGTTATCTCTGATGTTTTGCCAGCTTTAGCCATATATAAAACCATAGCTTTTACATATCTTTCAATTTCTCTGTTCTACCATAGCTTTGTCATGGTAGGAGGGAGTTAATATCTGTATTATGAATAAAAACATGGGCATCACTACAGACCCAACAGACATTGATATATGATTATATGTCATAATTACATCTCATAAGAGATATTCTGAATAACTTAAAACAAATAAATTTTAAAATTTGGATGAAATGGACAAATTCCTTGAAAAATAAAATTCACCGAAATTGCCAAAAGAAATGAAAAATCGAAATATTATAATTTAAAAAAATAATATATAAACCTTCCCACAAAGAAATTCTATGCTTACAAGTTAACTTTACCCAAGATTTAGTGAAGATATTTTGTCAGTCTTCTATATACTCTTCCATAAAACCAAAAGAGACGGCAAACTTCAAAACTGACTTTATATAATTGGTATTACCTTGATATCAAAACCTGACTAGTATATTTTAAGGAAGTAAAATTACAGAACAATCTTACTCATGAACATAAATGAGAATTCCCTACACAAATGAACGAATGAATATGTACGTGAACGAGTGCATAGGCTTATTTTCAGGTTTTTTATAGACCTAAAATAGAAATCACTCAGCCTGACAAAGTAAGGATTTCAATACCAGTCTCGGCTCATATCCTCAAGAACACCTGTATGCCAAAACGACTCGGTCAAAAAACTAACAAAGTCTGGACAAACCAACAAGCCTGGTTAAATTAGTCTGTGGGAGGTATCGGTATTTTTTTAAAAGCCTCCCTGAGTTCCGGCAGAGATCGCGGTGAGACGCTGAGCGCGGCCAGCTCACCTGGCGCCCTCCAACCCCAGGCCAGCGGGTGAGTTGGCGGAGCCCTGGGACGGGCTGGGGTGTCGGCTCTGCAGACACGCCAGAGCCTTCGCTGGGGCTCACACCGGCTATACCCAGGCCTTGAAGGAGCAACGACCATATTCTTCAACCCACCTCGGTGACCTGATGGTGGTGGCGGCCTCTCCCAGCCCGGACACCGCCGACCGCTGGATCTCCAGTCCTACAGGACGCCTCCGCCAAGCCGCCCGGATGCAGAGCCTTTGAGTGGCAGCTGCTGTGGCGGGCCAGAAGCATGGCAGCGGCTGGGAGGCCGCTAGGGTGTGGCGGGGGCGGGTCTACGGAGGCCTCTTTAGGCCACAGAGCCACGTAGAACCCCAGCCTGCAGTGACTGCTCTGTCCCAGTTGAACGGGACCTACTGAGTCCTGAGGACAATGGACAAAGGCCTTAGCGGCACAGAAGGTGAGCCAAGTCCTGGAGGAGGGTAAGCAGAAGGATCAGTGGCCATCACGGTTGGTCTTCGTTCTACCAGACCTCGATGGCACAAGAGAAATGGTAAGATGACAGGCCACAGTTGGCCCGCTGGACATGCCCGCCACCGTTTGGGAAGGTTTACTGTCTGTTTGTAGAAAGCCTGTGTAGTTAACGTGAAAAAGTTGCTCTCAACTTCCCTCCAACCTTTTAAAACATTTTCGGCCGGGTGCGGTGGCTCACGCCTGCAATCCCAGCACTTTGGGAGGCCGCCGCGGGCGGATCATAAGGTCAAGAGATTGAGAACATCCTGGCCAACATGGTGAAACCCAGTCTCTGCTAAACATACAAAACTTACTTGGGCATGGTGCTGCACGCCGATAGTGTAAGCTACTCGGGAAGCTGGGGCAGGAGACCGCTTGAACCCGGGAGGCGGAGGTTGCAGTGAGCCGAGATCGCGCCACTGCACTCCAGCCTGGATGACAAAGCGAGACTCTGTCTCAAAAAAAAAAAAAAAGAAAAAGAAAAGAAAAGAAAACATTTTCCACATCTAGGCTTTCTAGATGTACAGAGGTTGCCGACATTGTGACAGTTATAAAGTCACACATCTTGTAAATTCTCATTTGTTTAAAAGAAATGATTAAAAAAAAGTCTTCTGGAGGTGACTTTGAAATGGTTGTTAGACCACCTCTGGAGCCAAGCTTCCATGTTTGTTCAGTGAGTTCGAGGACATAAAACAGAAGATCTCAGATGGAAGAGAAGGAAGTTCTAGGCCAGTCTGGTCATATTTGAAGACATTTTCATGTTGTTCTAATCTAACCGTTGCTTTGTGTACATTTTATTAATGCTCACTACTGTATATAGAGTTGACTAATGTAAAACAATCGCTTTTATAAAATGCCCTTTTGTTTGTTTTTAGGAAGTCCTTTCTTCTGACTTTGCCAATCCATCTCTTGGAGCTAGACATAGTCATATATTTAGTCATTGGAATGGTGAAAGAGGGAGAAGAGGAAGGATGAAGAAAAGGGCTTTTTGTTACTATCTCCAGATCTAGATGATGGTTTAAAATAAGTTTAGGTCTGTATGAGCATTTTCTGTTTGTTGTGGATGAGTTTTATTATTTGCAACATTTGAGCTTTATGAATGTCCTAGGGTGACAATGTATGATAAAAAAGTAGAGCTAGTGAATTAGCCAATTTGTTAATATTTTTTGTTATAATTGATGGAAAAGATGCATCTTGGACATGGAATTGTTAAACCGCATCTGAGCAATGTATGTCAGGAAATGTTCTTTAGGCTGGCAGCAGAGGGGCAGAATGAAGTATAAAGGGAGAGACGTATGCAAATGTGTCTGTATTTACATTTGACACTAGTGATTGATATATATGCAACTCTTTTGGCTGTACTATAGGAATGCAGTAAGTAATTCGATGGAAACATACCTTGCTAACATCTTAATGATATAGATCTGATAAATTCTCTTAGAAGCATTTTAGCGTGTTCTGTTGCTTTATGTTTCATTTTAAATTGAGCATTAAGAGAATGCAGTATTTTAATTGGAACTCTGTTACTGCTTTTATCTGGAGGCATATTGTCATTTGGGTCTTCTATGAAATTTTTTTCCCAAGAAAGGGAGGATTACATTCTTTCTAACACTTGGAGGAGTTGGTGTAATGTATATTGCTGGTTATCAGAATACTCATAGCTTTAAGATTTTGAATTGATAAATATTCATGATGTGTGAAAAAGCATGATACATACCATGTGATCTCAAGTCCATGAAACTGGATGTTGTATCTACACACTCAGGACCTAGAAGGACATGTGAAACTAAATTGCTTGTGATTGTGGATGACTGTGATTGTGAATGACTTTGTTCTTTGCTTCTAGTATTTTTCTGTTTCCTATAATGCACATATTAGCTTTTAAAAAGTGAAGGTTATTTTTAAAAACCTGTAAAAAAAAAAAAAACCAGGTGGCTCTAAAGCATAAGGTTGAGAGCCACTGGAGTAAGTTGCTGACCCTGGTATGTAGTTAGTATTTATTCTAAGTGCAATGGAAAGGCATTATAGGGGTCAGGGAGAGATGTGACATGATCTAATTTACCTTTTAAGGCTGAGGCTTTGTGGAGAGTGGACTATGGAGGATGAGAGCAGAAGCAAGGCACTGGTTAGGAGCCGATTGGGAGGGTAAAGGAAATCAGGATATATGGCAGGCATGGGATATATGCCAGTCATGCTGACAACAGAGGTCCTGGGAGTGAAGGACAGAGAAGAACTCCTAGAGTCTGGGAATCTTTAGCAGTACTAGGCACAGAGCTCCTGTAATTTCACGTGTCAGACAGTAATCTCTGCCACCCCTTCCTCTTCGCGTGTTGGACAGTAATCTGTGCCACCCCCACAGCTTCCAGCAGGGCAGGTACCTGGTAAAGGCATATACAGATGGCTAGAACAAAGCAACCGCTCTTGTGCAATAAACCTCCAGGCTCTGCGGAAGCCCAGGTCTCCTGTGTGGCTCTGATAAATTCCTTCCCTTCTCTGGCCTTTGTAAAACTGAAATTATATTTTTCCACTGCCTGCCTTAAGTGCAGAGGTATTTTGAATATCCAGGACAGCAATGCATAACGACAGTTAATAACAGTTTTTAAGCACAACCACCCTGCAAGGTAGAGATTGTTAAAATAATCTTACAAACATCAGAGCTGAGAGATTAAAGTAACCACCTGAGGCCAACCTGCTATCAGTGGTTAAGTGGGGTTTTGATCCAGGCCAGTTTTACTTCAAATTCTAGATTCCTTTCACCACAAGATGTTGAAATTGCAACATATTAGCTGATGCATTAGCAAGATGGCAGGAAAACTATTACATTCTTTCATTGTACTCATACTAAGTTGGTGGGGTTCTTTTGAAAAGCAAATTGGTAGTAAGTATCAAAATCAGTAAAAGTGTTTCTACCCCTTCATAGTATTGAATTTATTCTGAAGAAAACAATTTTGAATTGTAAAAAGGTATACACCTAGAATTTTTGTAACAGTAATAAATTCACAGTAACTTAAATAGGGGACTTGTTTAAAAAAAAAACTATGGTGTCAAAGGAGTACTATACAGTAATAGTCCTCTGTGAAGGATGATTTTGCCCACCCCCCCAGAGACATTTGACAATGTTTGAAAACATTTTGATTGTCCTAACCTGGGGGGAAGGGTGAGTTCTGTTGGCACCTGATGAGGAATGACCAAGGATACTGCCAAACATCCTGCAATGTATAGGACAGCCTCCCAAAATGTCAATAATGCAGAGGCTGAAAAAACCCTATTATGCAGAAATTCAATATGATTAGTGAAGATTTTATGACTTAATAGAGAAAAAGTAGAGTTCCAAATTTGGGTCACACCGTGATTACAACCATCGAAAACCTTATCTTGCATAAGAAACAGCAGATGAAAACACAGGAAACTGAAAAAAAAAAAAAACATTGATGGAAGTAGAAATAAATCTCATTCTCTGAAAAGTTTTCTTTAATGATGTTATTTTTTCCATGCAAAAATTTGGAAAAAAATGAAGTACAACATGCTATAGATACCTGTTGTCATTGTTGTTATCCAGATCAAACACTGTACCAGCACATTTTTGTGCTCAATTAATTCTTCTGGAAGGAAAGAAGGAATTTTGTTTGTTTGTTTTACAAAAGTTATGTGAACAGATTCAGATCAAAAGTGGAATTTTTAGAAAGTCATGCAACTGTCATATCCATTACGTTGAAAGACTCCTTCTGATGCAAGGAACACAAATCAAACTGGAACTAGCTTACACAAGACAAGACATATTGGTTCATGTGACTGGGGGAAAAATGTCTGGCATCAAGTCATGTGCACCCAAGAGCAGAAACAGTGCTATCTGCTGCTTGGTATGCTCTGTGCCTTTGCTCTCTTTCACTCTCAGACTACCCACTACATACTCATTCTCTGAGTGTGGCCCTCATTCTCTATTGCATATTGCTTTCTCACTGGGAACACAGGTGACACAAATGTTTTGATGGCACACATGCTCCAGTAAATTCCTGGTAGAGGATACATGGGAGGTAAAATTCTGAGAACTTGCATTTCTAGAATTTGTCGGCCTCCCAAAGTGCTGGAATTATAGGTGTGAACCACTGCCCAGAAGTTAATTTATGATATAACTCTTTTAATCTCAGAGTTAATAAATAATCTGCTAAGACTTACTGAGGACTTTTTTTCCATAGGATCACAGTAGAAAACTGTAAGAGTGGTACTGGGAGGGGGCACTATCTTGAGAGGAAAAATGCTGGTGGGACCTTGGCATTTGCAGTGAGAAAGAAAAGCTGAAAGAAATGCAAACATTCATTCAAAAGCTGCCTAAATTATCTATTTCCTCATTATAAAATAGGGCTTAAATGGGACTAGAATAGAGCTAAAATGTGTCATAAAATGTTTGCACCTGGAACTGAACATTCATGGCCTCATGTAATACACTAAGCAGAGCCAGGCACCTAGAAGTCATCTGCAGTAAATGTTCCCATTGTTCCCAAATCTTGGCTCCCTTTCTTGAGAGATGATTGCTAGACACTCATGGCCATGTGACTTGAGTACTTCTCTGTCAGTGGGGTATGCTTTACTGCCCATGTCAGGCTCAGCCACGAGACTCAGTTGAGTCCATGGGATGTGAATGGAAATGACAAAGAAAAGCATGAGGGGCAATACAAGTTTTTTTCCAGTTCTCTTGTACTTTCCCTGCATCATCACTTGTCTTGAATCTGGGCCTCTCCTTCAGCTGGTTCCCAGATGAGAAGACATGGAGCAGCACCCCATCCAGAGTATTCTTGAAACAGAAACAAACCTACATTTTGGAAGCCACTGAAGTATGAGGGTTACTAGTTACCA